GGTGCGTGCTCGCATAGAGTACAAAATCGCAACTTTGTGCTACCGCTGCTTACATGACCTGGCGCCGTCCTATCTGAAAGAGCTGCTGACGCCTTATGTACCCAGTAGAGAGCTCCGCTCATCCGATAGTGGCAAACTCTCGACACCACGTGTTTGCCTTGAGACTTACGGAAAGCGCACTTTCGCATTTGCTGGTCCAACAATTTGGAACGCCCTTCCTGTCGATCTTAGAAACAACCAGACACTGGAGTCCTTTAAAACAGATCTAAAGACACATCTATTTCGCAAATACCTTCTGGGATGATTGTCTACCTTATTTTCCATGTGTTGCTGTGTTGCTCCGGGTTGAAATGGCTAGAAAGACTTTGATATTGTATGCTTGTAATTAGTTTTTGTAGTGTTGTGTTTGTTTTAAATGTGGTGAATTATAGATATGTTTTTGTTGACTTTGTACCGCGCTTCGAGCCTTTGGGGATGAAGCGTGTTTTTTTAAATGAACTTTATTATTATTATTATTATTAAATGCTATTCGGATGTCATTTGTGGTAATTTATTTTAGTTAAACTGAAGAATTATGTTTACAAACTTATAGTCCATTCAATTATCATTGATTAGGTACCAAATTTTGTCTTGCATGCCAAACATCAATATTTTAAACATTTTTTAAATCCCCACCTCACACTTCTGGTAATCGGGTCCGAATAGCCACTTCGAAAATACAAAGCTAAATATGTGTGTGTTTTATCAACAATTTAAACAGCAATCAATTGTATTTATTAATTTTACTTTTAAGAAGGGGGAAAAACATTATCAGTTTTGTCACGTGCAATAGTTAGATCAAAGAAACTTAGGCGTTATTCGCAAATAACGTCGTCACACTCAGGAGGGAGGGGGGGGGGAGGGGGTCGAGAATTTGTGACACTTTGTGACAGCGGAGGGGGGGGGGGTCAAACATTTGTAGCGTCACAAATTATTGTTTTAAAATCTAAAATATTCTAATTTGAAAAGTCTTTATTGCTTAATTTTAAAAGAATCAATTTGAGGTCGAAATCGCCTGAGGTATTATAAGTACATTGAAACTCAGTCGCGTGCCTCCTGCGCATATCGAAAAATGACGCAAAAGCTGTTGTGGCCATTTTACATTCGGCTCGGGGAGGACTTCGTTGTTTTAAGTTTTACCTCACAGTTTTCTAATAATAGAACATCTGTATCCATTATGGGAAAATGTTCAAGAATAAAATAAAATCTCAGTTTAATCATGAAAATGTTATTGTATGTGTTGAATTTTTTTAGGTGTGACGTGACACTAATGTGTGTGGGGGGTTGGAGGGGTAAAGAATTTGTGAAACCTTGTGACTGGTGGGAGGAGGATCTGAAAAGGTCAATTTGTTGCGCGACGTAATTTGCGAAGACTCTTTAGAGTTCTGACTAAAATAAGCAATTCGCGCTATGACGTCATTTGCGTGTTTATTTAGAACAAATTAATTAATTTTAATTTTATTTCACAATATTAGCAACGTACTAAAATACGCACTAAAAAGGAATTATAAACAATAGACGTTTTGATTCTCCCGATAAATGTAATTACGATGTGATTCTTAGATCATAGCTGTTTAATTTTTTTTAAATTCCATAACTTTCAAACTCGCATTTCAATAGTTCCTTTATTGTTATCCGAAACGTATTTTTAATTGATCATAATAATACTTAAACATTTACTAAAAAAAAACGGATTTATTTTATTTTTTGCGCATTTAAATTTATTTGATTTCCGTAAAATAATAGAAAAAATAACTAAAATTTGTTTTTAAGAATCGGAATGTATTTAAATCTCTTTGTTTCTTTGGCGTTACGGAAAACCTAGCTCATTCTTATGTATGTATATAAATATACATTTGTGTCTATTGCATCAAGCCTTCAAACCCCTAGTGTATGATTTCCTCATCAACACCAGGAACAGAAACATTGCAAATCCCATCTACATGCATAGGAGCCAAAATGATCAATAAATTGATCGTGGGCCCTTAAGATATAGAAGAAGAAGATATATATATAATAGATTATCTATTTCATTTTCATAGCTTTATAAAGTATTTATAAATTGATGACGATTTTTTTTTTTTTGGGTGGTGGGGGGCTTGTACAAATCCTAGTATCATTTATGGATGGCCTGAAATTTATATTTTAAAAAAGTCCATAGAGATCAACTTAATTAAGCTGGGGGAAAATGGTAACGCCGAAAAACAGTGCACCGGACATTAAAACTGCAGATAACTTTATTCCCGTGTCAAATAATTGAAAGCTTTGCAAATGTTAGCAAGATTTACGGAAATATCCTCAAATATCCTTATGATATCATTTTTGAGATCTCTCATTTATGTTTGTTTGTTGTTTTGGATTTATTTTTTATTTTTGCCCATTATTTTAGAGATCAATTTTGTTTTTTTTATATTACATATTTTAAAAAAATAATAATAATAACACGTCATTTAATATTTTTATAAGTTTGTTTTAATAAAATTTGTCCTTCCTGAGTTTATTAAAACAGACATCATAAATGTTCATTGAATCGTCCAAATCGCATGGCGGGCCTATTCAATCCGTCGAACTACCCGTTTCTGGGTGTCCCAGTGGGTCAGTCCACACCTGCAGACACGCATCTTTTACGGAAAAATTTTGATATAAAATTATTGAAATTAACC